TTAGTAGTGGTAAGGCCAGGATGTAATGGTATAATAATAATATATATGAAACCAGGTTAGGACACGTGGCTGCACCTTGCTGGCCTTGCTCATGTTTGTAGGTAATTTATGATACCTGTGAATGATTATCAAACAAAGTACCCCGCATTCGAAGTATGCAAAATGCAGGACGGGAGTTGGAACTACAAATGTATTGGCAGCCAAAGGAAGAAAGATGCCTGAGAGAACGTCGACTATAGAGTTTGAGTGATTAAATCGGCTCGCGTGCAGAAACCGGAATGGAATATACTGCATCTCAGCAGAGCGATATATGGTGGCAGCTTGAAGAGGCCTTCATCCAGCAGCAGATAACTCATGACTGATGATAACATTGTGGTATATGGAATGGATTTATGTCATTTCTCGCAGCCACTAGAGGTGCTACCACTCACCAGAATATATTTTTTTAAACATGGTTGGATAACATCGTATTATATCACTTGAAACGCATCAAATTCAGCAAAACTTCCCAACCTTGAACGAGCAAAAAACAAACCTACTGCTCTCAAACTGGCGGACCAACTTTGACGATTGGTACGTCAATAAAAATGGTCTCGCGCCGGTTTTACGAACGGGCTTCTGAGCAACGACACGCGTAACCCCACGCACTTGCACAGGGCATACATTTCGACCGCTTAGCTTTTTTTTGGGGTTGGTGCCAAAAAAACGCCTGGAGTTTTGATCGAACATTTCAGCTCGGCAGCTGGCAAATGCGGAGCAACGAGAGGCAACCTCGATCGCAGCGATCGTTTCCCATTATGTTCATCCACAACATGCAACGGGAACATCTTGATCTCGGCACCACACCAGATCAGACCCGTCCTTGACAAGGACACGCTACTGACACCAGTCAAAGGGAGTTCATTTTCCCCGCTCAAATGAGACAAGTGCTGCTCATCTCCTGTTTGGAGCCCTGAGCCAGTGGTGGATATTCCACATTGCTATGGCAGGGGCATGTCTGGGCATAGGACAAAACACTGTTGACTTTCCCCCCAAAGTGGTACTTCATTTACAAGCCACGTCCAGTGCGACGATGCTAATGACATCGCCAAGCTTCGTCCATCACCTCCTATCCAGCGGCACACGTGGTAACAGGGGTGAGAATACATTTTTCAAACTATTGTGTTTTCCGATTAGTCTGACCAATAACGGGTGATAATTTTAAGTCTGATTTGTAACACGTGCAAGAGAGTCGCTCACACAAGTCAGAGGCGCAGCGACACACATTAGAAAAATCGATTTTATATATATATAAAATCGGAAACTGCCACTCGAAACAAAAGGGCTGTGCATCATTATCACTGTACATTATCACGACAGCGTGGAGGACATAGCCTGCCGCACACTTCGTGGTTAACGCGGAACACCACAAACTGCTGCAGGGCTCTCGTGTATTTACACTCAGAACCCAACCAGCCCAGCTCACCAGGCCCCGGCTTGTAAAACAAGGACGTACAAATAAAAGTCCACATATTCAGTCTTAGAGCACCATTCTCCACATTCTGTAACCAAGTCACCTGGAACGCACCGGATCTCAGAAGCTAATCAACCATTGAGCATGGATTACGCTTGGATGGGCAACAACTATGCAAGCAGGTGTCAGTCTGGAGGGTTGTGCCAAGTTGTGGGAAGCCAAGAGTGCTGCAGATAAATCCATGGTTGTACTTTGCGTCTAGACTTCCATGTCTATGCTCCTCACCTTCATTCACCGTCCCGCACTGACTAAATGACCCCTACGACCTGCAGTGTGGTGACACCTTCATCCAGCAGATTTCCTTTTTTTACATCATCCACACTAAAAGGTGCCTCATGTAAACAAGGCTAACTGGCCACCCACCACACAACCTCACCCCCGTCACTGAAACCCGACTGGAGGAATAACATTAATTTAGGGGGTGCTATGAATGCTGTAGCCATATCTGACATCACCTTGTCCATAATTACAACAAGTGCCTGTGGCAAAGGGGGTGTGGGTTGCGGTGGTGGTGTTGGAAAGCAAGAGCCCTGGGTATCGGAGCACAAATATTCCATCACAGCTCACGTGTCTCCTTGTCCGATGGCTCAATTGCCTGAAAAGTTAGCCGTGAGTGAAGTCTGCCGATCGCAGCTCTTCAAATTAAGATGCCATGCTGGCTCCGCCAGCTCCGTGGTGGTGAGAAATCGCCACGCATTCCTGTCGGGCGCATTAATTAAAATTCTCTCGCTGGAAAGAATGCAGCTCATCTCGTCGGCCCTCAGAATCTAAGCCGAGGGGTTGACCCGAGAAAGTGCTTGCACGGGCAACCGCCATGCATAACAGGCATTATAGGCTGCTATAAACATTATCATATATTTCTCCTGCTAAAGGCAGTGTCATTAATGAATTTGTAAAAAAATGTTGTGTTATGTGTGCTTCTGCACCACTGCCAACGCAACAGCAGCAGCATCACCAAATAATATGCTGGCTTGATATGGTCACTAATAAGAGAGAGAGAAACCCCGATACGGGCTTGACTGGGTGGCTCAGAAGTCAAGAGCACTGAGATCATGGGTTTGAAAATAGGAAATTACAAAAAAATCCAAAATGTAGGGATGGCATCTCAAATCAGATGACCATGCCAACGTTTTGTCGAGCAAATGTTTCAACAAAAAGGCATCTCTATGCACGTGTCTCATGAGTCAACCCATACGGTTTACCCATATTCTTGTACAAGGAAATTGAGTTCAGGTTCATAAGGCGTTTCAATACGGACAAACAAAAATGTCTCGGTTTCTCCCTTGTGATGGGAATTTGTAGGATGAACGTTGAGATTTATAAGGGCACGGGGTGACCAATAAGGTCTGTAATAAGGTAGGCACTGATAAGGGGTTGACAGGTATGAGTTAAAGTATGTTCCTCTTGGGATCTCTACAGAATGTGTTTGCATCTCAGTCTGCTACGTTATTAGTTGGAACTTCCTATATTTTCCGCAAGGTCCTCCCCACGGGTCATTATTGTAAAACAGCTTAAGGATGAATGTTTCTTAACTCGCGTCAACAAATAAAATCAATCAACAGGACAGCAGCACGTACAGATGATGCCAAGGCAGAATGCATTAACGTGTCAGTGTCACTTTTTAGAGCCGCAGAATGAGTCTTCACGTTCCCCACAAGCATCGCATGAACCTTGAACACCATCATTAAATCCATATTGTTGGTGCAAGTGCGATATCAATCCTAACCTTGGCGCACAACCCAAACTTAAACCAGTGTGTTTCGTTTGGATATTGCTTATCTTTTTTATGTTATCTTATAGCGTCATTCATGCACGTTGCATCTCAAACAACGTTGAGGAGCCAGCCAAGCTGGAAGGCTGCAGCGAGGCAATGCCGACAATTTTCCCAAACTCTGCAGTCCTCTATAGATTAAGATGCTTTCAGCCAAGTAATGAGCGGTCACACACACGTGGGAGAAAACCGGAGCACTCGGCGAAAACCCACGCTTGCGAGGGCAACACTCTATCCCACACAGAAGGGACAACAGCAGGTGAGGCATGAGGCCACAACTTCGCTGTTACAGAGCCTTCCCCTAGCGGGAAAGGAAGTTTCACAACTTTTGTGCGATCCGCCAACCCCCGCCCGGTAACGTGCGTTTAAGTTACAGTTCGTTAAAGCCGATTTAAATTACGCCAACCCAAACAATTAGTCGGGTCTCAAACATTGCAGACAACCCAACGTATACTGTGTTCCGGATTGTGTGATATCAAAATGAGAGCTTTGTTCATGGGAAGAAAAGACTTGAAAATCATGGTCAGGCGCTCTATAATAGTTTTTTTTAAAAATGATCATTCATACATTTAGAGTATCCCATTCTTACGGTGACCCTAATAAAAGGCCATGACCCCTAACGCAGGACTATGCTGAACACGCAGCAGGCTTTCTCGACCAATATTATTCATAATCGTGTTTTTTTGTGTTAGATCGCGTCAATGTAAATGTCGTTAAGAACCGCCACCACCCGACACAGCCACAAATCTGGCTTTCGCCTGATGATGCTAGATATAATTACAGGCGAAACGTCGTGCTCAGATTGTAAATGTTGTGGATTTACTCTCTAACACACCGGTGTGTGCTGTACTAGTGACGAATTAGCATGTTCTGTTTACGTGACAACCCTTACTAATTGGCTGTCGGGTGGTGGCGGGTTTAACGACACATTTACGCGATATAACCCCAAAAAAACCTCCATCAAGGCCTAACTATATTGTGATCCTAACTGCCAACACAGCCCCTTAAAACATTTGTGATTTAACAAAGCGGCGACGTTGTTTTAATGTAGAGTAGGTCATCATGTTGTGGTAGTCCATGTTCTGTTAGTGTGGGCACACCGGTTCCCGTCGCCCAGACCACTTCGACTACAGCAAAGTGATATCGTGGCATAGTACAATGTAGTCAAAGTACTGCTACACCAGTTAGTGGTGTGGTTAATGGAGTTAAGGTGTGTTGAACTTCTTTCGCACTGTACGTAGCCAACCGTGATGACTGGAGGCACTCGTGAATGTTTATTAAACACCGGCTCCCCCGCTGGCCTAACCACTCGGATTTTGACTACAAAGTAGCATACTACAGCAAAGGCCCCGTGATATAGTCAATGTATTCGGAGTAAAGCTACGGCAGCGAGTGATGTAGTTAGTCTCGTCAAGGTAAGTTAATGAAGTTACACTCGTCAATGTTACTCGTTTCCCTCTCGCCTAACCACTGTGACTTTGACCACAACACGACAAACACGGCGACATGGTCAATGGACCCGTGGCAATGCCATGCCAGTGAGTGGTGAAGCCGAGCCAAGGCAGCTACACTAGTTGGTGTAGTTACACTAGTTGGTGTAGTTACACTAGTTAGTGTAGTTATACTAGTTAGTGAAGGGTTATTTGTGTGTGTGTGATGTACCCCTGCTTCCCAATGGGCCAAGGTGCCTCAGGCCGAACGCGCGCGCCGCCTCACCGTGAACGCAGCGCCGTCCAGGAGCCCCACGGAGAAGGTGTTCTCCCCGGGGTTCACGGCGCCCGTCAGCACCTGGTGCAGCTTCATGGCGAACGCCGACGATGTCCGGGCCGAACGCCACTAAACCACCGCTAACCACCGCCGCCACTTAGACTCGCACCATCACCACCACCACCATCGCCAGCGTCACCACCATCGGGGGGGGGAGGGGGCCGCCACCGCGCAAAGTCTCGCGAGATCTCGTTTGCCGACCTCCGCATTCATCTGAGCGCGCGCGGGTCCGGCCGCGTCTCGCGAGATTTTGGACGGATTTGCACCCTTCCCCTCCTCCAGCGCCTTCGGAGCGTGCGCCGACGACTGGACATGCATCGCGCGTTGCGTGCCGCCCCGCCCCGCCCACTGTATCGCGATGTCGCTTGCCGAATGCGCATGCACCCCTATGAATGTTTACCCGACCAACAGCAGCAAGACAAACTCGCCAATAACGACGTGGCCGTAAGTGGGGGAACACAATATACAACAGGCGACGTTTCGGGCAATGGCCCTTCATAGTACATCAACACATTCATAGCCCCTATATAAAAGCAGAAACATTCTGCGTATGGCCCTTGTTCATAGCCATTCATTTGGCTGTGAAGAAGGGCCATTGTCCGAAACGTCGCCTATTACACTGTTACTATTGACAAATGTGTTGAGTGTTTTTATTATTATTAAGTGTACATCACCAAATGGTGTGTTCAGTAAGATCTCCCATCGGGCGCGTTTCCGTCCACTCTGGGACGAAGTCCTCCACGTGCCACCAATAATACGAACACGAAGTGACGGTGAAGTCACCAACGGCGCCTGTGCCAGGCTAGGTGCACCTTGTCGAAGGCTCTCGCTGCTTTCAGGTCACGGGACAAGACCCCCAAGCTTGACTGAATGAGTTGACCGGCAGATGCATCATCACCCCGTACTGCAGCCTTAACCGACTGTTGGGGCAAAGTGCTGTTTGCGAGTAGCTTCCTATGAAGCAACCACGCCCGGCCGCCTTTGTCTCCCAATACCAACACGCGGCCATTCGCCACGAAGTGACGGTGAGGTCACCAACGGCGCCTGTGCCAGGCTAGGTGCACTTTGAGGCCCACGTGAAGTGTCGAAAACTTGCTGCCGGCAGGAGGTCTCGGGACAGACCCAGCATGTGCCATGGGTTGGCTGACTGAGATGGCTGTACCCACTAATGTACCAATTTTATACGCCCGGCGCTCCGCTCGTTGTTGTGAGCGTCGCTCCTCTGCCCTCCGTTGTTGCTGGAGGGCGACTGCCTCCAACTGCCCAGTAGCCTCACTGTGCACCTAGCCTGGCACTACCCTAGTAGCGTCCTTCACGAGCCTCCTCCACAGAGGCCGATCTTGACACCGATGGTACCAATCTTCGGCAAGTTCACTCCGCTCCACGTCCTCCCGTGCGGCATCAGCTCCATCTCTTCTCCAGCCCGTGCCACATCAGCTCCATCTCTTCTCCAACTCGTGCCACATCAGCTCCATCTCTTCTCCAACTCGTGCCACATCAGCTCCATCTCTTCTCCAGCCCGTGCCACATCAGCTCCATCTCTTCTCCAGCCCGTGCCACATCAGCTCCATCTCTTCTCCAGCCCGTGCCACATCAGCTCCATCTCTTCTCCAGCCCGTGCCACATCAGCTCCATCTCTTCTCCAGCCCGTGCCGTGCCCGTTTAGCCCCCTCGATGCGGCCAAACAGAAGCTGCTTGGGGCATGCGGTGGCTGGGCATGCGGGCGACTGGACCCAGCCAAAGCAGCAGCCTCGGCTGCCGGAGGACATCTTATAGTAGTACTCATATACACACGAAAACATAGACAACAAACGATAGACACATTTGGTCAAGATTTTAATTGTTACGCCCGATAACACGATACAAATGACGAAATGTGCTGCAGTGGGCACCTGCGGGCCAATGTGCCCCATGGACCGGTGATGTCTCCATTGCTTCTTAGCAGGGTCTGTGCCGGGGTTTAGCCGCAGGGCGGCGGTGTTGCCGCTGCGAGGCGCGATCCCAATTGAGTGAAGGGCAGCAACAACCACGCCCGGCCGCCTTTGTCTCCCCAGTGGCGAGGCTTTTTTTTACGACACCGCACCGGGGTTACTCGTTTTGAGGCTCTTGCAGGGGCCGGGACCGGTTCAGGCGGTGTTGGCCGCGGGCAGGCGGGAGTCGAACTGCCGGTCGCCGGGTTCGTAGCGCAGCGCGCTAACCGCTGCACCACCGCTCCCCCCACACACGAACCACGCCGAGCCCGTGCCGCTCTCATCTCTCTGGCTATGCCACCACCACCGCCACCACCCGGCCCTGCCGCGTGCTCGCAACCTCCCAGCCGCCTGTGCCCCCCCCCCCACGCCAGGCCACCCCCCCTCCTGCCAGCAGCCCCCCCCCCTGCCAGCAGCCCCCCCCTGCCAGCCCCCCCCCTGCCTTGTGCTGCCTCCCGCCCTCCCGCCCGGTCGCCCGGGGAACCACGATAAACAAACCCCGCGCCTCGCCCGGGAGTCTCCTGCGTCGTGGGAGAACGGAGCAGCTGGCACAAGCGTGGCGAGGTAAATCTCCCTCCTCCTCTTCCTCCTCGTCCTCCTCCTCCTCGTCGTCGCCACCTTCGAACGCAAGGCGGGTCTCGTTGTAGGCATGACGAGAGGTAAACAAAGAGAGAGACATCGCTGGGGCTGCCGCGCTTTTTCAGCCTTCCCAAGATGAGTTCACTTTCTTAAAGTAGAGATCGTACCTGGGCTTCCTGCTGCTGCTGCTAAGATTCGTCAACTCGCTCAGCTCCGAGGAACCCAACTGTTTCATTCTCGTCCGTCGTTGTTCCTTCAGCAGTGCTGTTTGTTAGTGGTCGCAGTGCATTTTGTTTCGTGCAGCGGTCTGTGACCGTGATTTAATAATTATTATTTAACTAAACTATTTTTCATTTGACCAGGTAAGACCCACTGAGCTGTACAGCTCTTTTTCAGAAGCGACCTGGCCACAAATGATAGCTCAGCGAAGTCGCTTATCATCACGTGGAAATGTATAGCAGGCAACTACTCTAAACGCGTGATGTTGATTATTAATGTGGAGAGAAAACCGGAGGACTCGGACAAAAATCCACGCGACCACGGGGAGAGAGAGAGAGAGACACGCAAACTCCAAATATACAGCAGCAGCAGCAGGCGTCAGAGTCGGCATCGAACTCACGACCTCCTGTGTACCAGGCGAGGTAGTGAACATCTCCTGGCCACCGTGGCGCCCCTGATACAACTGTGAGTTCCCGAAGGTGGAACTTGTGTTGGCTCATGGCGTTGTCGAGGCAACGTGACTGCTGTATGTACAGCACTGGCCATAAATTCACTGCTGCATGAAAACCGCTGGCCATACACCTTTCGGTTTACTGGAGTTGTTTAACCCCACGCCTCAGTGCAGCAGTTGAAGGGTTTGTTATTGGTCACGCATTGTTCCATAGAGAAAGAAAAAAGTAAATATTTAAAATCACAGACTCACAGTTTTGGAATGTGTAATGCGTTACCGATCACTTGTAAATGTTCTACCCCTTTCCTCCCACAGAGTCCACTCTTGAATTGTGAAACCTGCACAGTAACATTTCACAAGGAGCTTAGTGATTAAAATGTTAATATACTCCTGAGGCTTCTGATAACTTACCAAGTGAGGTGTATGATTCCTTAAGAGGTGAGGCTTCTGATATCTAAGCGAGACATCTGATATCTTATCAGGTGAGGTTTATGATTCCTTAATAAGTGATACTTCTGATATCCTACTAAATGAGGTTTCTCATATCTTACTAAGAGAGGTCTCTGATATCTTACTAAGTGAGGCCTCTGATATAACACTGAAAGGCCTCTGATATCACACTATGTGAGGCCACTGATATCTTACTATGTATGGGTCCTGTGGAGGAGCTTAGGATTGTACTGGCGTATTCAGATATTGCATAATTTACAGGATTCAGCGTCACGTTCCGCCAATCTCGGTGTTCGTTCTCGAGGGTCCGGTGTCGGATGTCACCATGCAGCGCGCGTCCGCACGCGAGCGTCTGCGTCTGTGCATCTCTCATCTATAATATCTCTCTCTCTAAAACCAGCGCAAGCCTCCAGTAAATCACGTTACTTCTGTGGCTATACGGGAGTTCTTTGTCTCTGTACAGGTCTTTCAGCGCAAAATGACGGAATTCAGCCACAGATTCCCCGTCATCCCCGTTGCCGACAGGTTAGTGACGAGCACCCTACTGCAATGAGAGACCCGGCCACTCCCACCCGGCCACCTCCATTCGACCACCTCCACCCGGCCACCTCCACTGGACCACCTCATTCCGGCCACCTCCACCCGGCCACCTCCACCTGGCCACCTCCACTGGACCACTTCCTCCCGGCCACATCTACCCGGCCACCTCCTCCCAGCCACCTCCTCCCGGCCACCTCCTCTCAGCAACCTTCTCCTGGCCACCACCACACGGCCACCTCCACCCAACCACCTCCACCCAGCCACCTCCACCCGGCCACTTTCTTCTGGTCACCTCCTCCTGGCCAACCTCAATCGGGCACCTCCTCTTGGTCACCTCCACCCAACCACCTCCACCCAACCACCTCCACCCGCCCACCTCCCCTTGGCCACTTCCTTCCGGCCACCTTCTCCCGGCCACTTCCACCTGGCCATCTATACCCGGGCACCTCCACCCAGCTATCTCCACCCGCCCACATCTACCTGGCCCCCTCCACCCAGCCACCTCCACCCAGCCACCTCCACCGGCCCAACTCCACTCGCCAACCTCCATCCATCTAGCTACCTCGCCAACCCAACGTCTTAACGGTGCTGGCTTGGCGCTCTGACACTTGAGCTAACCTCCCTAACGCTTGTACACCATGTTACCATTTAATTCCTTTGGCTGTGTAGGGCAGCGGAGCGTCCCACAACAGTAATTTGTCCAGATCATTACGTATCCACACCCAAAGATCAACTACGAACTCTGACCCCCTGCCCTCCCCCACACCACCTCCGCTCCCCTGCCTCCTCATCGCCCGTTAACCCCCCCGTGACCCCTCCGCAGGTCACGGCCGTCGTCCGGCCAGCAGGGGCCGTCGAGACGCGAACAGCGTTCTCCACAACCGCCCCACTCCTCGTCGCGCCTGCCCGCCCTGCCGATGGCGCTGGTGGCGCCGGTGGGGCGCGTAGAGGTGCTGGAGGGGCGCGTGGCGCAGCAGGAGAAGACGCTGGGCGCCCTGCTGGAGCAGGCGCTGCGCATCCGGGACGAGGTGGCGCTGAGCCTGCGCGCCGGGGGGCCCTGGGCCCCGGGGCAGGCGGCGGCATCGGGCGCCGGCTGGGAGCGGGAGAGGGAGGCGCGGCGCATGCTGGAAGAGCACATCCGCAGCATCGCGCTCATCGTCCACCGGCTGGGACGTGAAGTCGAGGCGCGTGCGCACGCCTCATCATCATCGTCGTCGTCGTCATCGTTAGCCACAGCAGCAGTCATTGTTGAATGATGGCCTCCCCGAGGAGGCCATCATTATAAATAAAGAGGCTTATACGCATGCGCGCATAAGCCTCTTTATTTGTCCGCGTGCACGCAGAAGCACGGGCAATCACATGTGCATGAATAGCAACAGCAGCAGCAGCTGCCATTCACAACTAAATGGCAGTGGCATGACCACAGCACTTGTGCCAGCCGAGGGGCACTTAATAGCCATCACGTGAAGTGTAGAAGATTCGCTGGCAGGAGGTCACAGGACAGATGCCATGGGTTGACTGATTGAGATGACTGGCAGGTGCACCACCTGGGGTCTCCAATGTACCACCTCGCTGTATTCTAGGCACGTTTTTGATGATTGCGTAGAGTTTGTATGACTATTGTCACGATGAATGCTGTCCAGGTGCGAAGCAATGAATTTCATTTCGGCTAAGATGATGAATTAGAATCATTATTGGATATAAAAATCCGATTATGTTTTTGCGACAAGCACTTTGATACATTTCGCGAACTGCTCTTTTTAGAAATGAATTTGATCGATCGATTGAATGGCACGGTAGGAGAAACTTCCCCAATGGTGGTTGGTGGTCAGGCGGGGGTGGGGGGGCCTAAATAATCAAGCTTTTCACAGGGCCCCCAAAAACAAAGCATTTTCTCCATTGCCACCGAATGGCATCGCGAACCCCACCAAGCGAGCCACGGCCGTAACCCAGCACCGTCTGCTCCCCACTCTCTGCCGCAGGTGCTGGAGGCAGAGGTGCGCATGCGCGACTCGACGGCGCTGGGCACGAGCAGCGCCGTGAAGACGCTGGAGATGCACCACGTCACCGGCGTGGGCGACCTGCGTGGCCGAGTCGCCAGGTGCGGCAACGACGACTTGACGGGCGTGATAAAAAATGACCGAATCGACGTTGTTGATGACGACAGCGATGCCGGCGGTGTCTGCTCCGCTACAGGTGCGACGCGAGCATCGCGCGCCTCGCGGGGGAATCGCGCACGCTGCAGGACTCCCTGGGGGGCATCACGCGCGAACTCACGGCCGCGCGTGCCGCGCTCGACCTCAAGCTGCACGAGGTGGAGGCGCAGGTGAGCTCCGCCCTCGTCCCCCTAACCCAGCCCCGACCGGGATGACTCCGCACGCTTACCTCTAGCGCGGGCGGAGTGATGACTCCGCGTTCACCTGCTGTGCGGCGCCGGCCAGGTGGGGCAGGTGCTGGCGCGGCTGGAGAAGGAGAGCGCGGAGCACGAGGCCCGGCTCAGGCTCCTGCAGGGAGAGTGCGGACACCAGGTGGAGATGCTCGACTCCAGGTGAGAAGGAACAGACCGACGGACAGACTGACGGACGAATAGGCAGACTGATGGACCGACAGATGAACAGACAGACTGACTGACTCACGGATGAACAGGCAGACTGATGGTCTGACGGACGAACAGACAGACTAATGGACGGAGGAACAGGCAGACTGATGGACCGACGGACGAACAGGCAGACTGATGGACTGATGGACGAACAGGCAGACTGATTGACCGACAGATGAAGAGGCAGACTAATGGACTGACGGACGAACAGGGAGACTGATTGACTGACGGATGAACAGGCAGACTGATGGACTGACGGACGAACAGGCAGACTGATTGACCGACGGATGAACAGGCAGACTAATGGATGGATGAACAGGCAGACTGATAGACCAATGGATGGACAAACGGATAGATATACAACAAACAGACAAATGGTCAAACGGATGGATGGGCAGATGTAAACATTGACGAATGGGAGAACGTAGAGACAGAGAGACAAATAGGTGAACAGGCAAACCAACAACCCCAGAGGCGCTGCTGGTTGGCGGTGGCAGAGTGACCCCGCGGGGTGACGACGTGGCGTGCGTGCGTCAGGGTGAAGGCCGGGATGGAGGACCTGCGAGCGGCGCTGAACGTGGCGGAGCACGACGGGGAGCACGAGCGGCAGCGTGTGGAGCACGACGTCGCCCGGCAGCTCCAGCAGCTGGCGGGCGCCGTTCGCGAGCGGCCGGTGAGGGGCGGCCGCCAGCGCCGAGCGCTCGCCGCACCTTCGCCACAGCGGCGTCCGTCACCACTACCACCGAGCAAAAGACAAAGATCCCCCGTAAAGCCTTGACAGACTGTTGGGGCAAGTGCCGTTAGCGAGCGCCTACGAAGGCCGGCACTGTAGCACACGAGGGGGTGGGTGGCCAGCGCCACGCCCGGTCGCCTTTGTCTCCCCAGTGGCGAGGTTTTTACACACCGTACCGGGTAATCATTTGAGGCTGAGTCGACCTAGGGGAGGCCCAGGACCGGTTCAGATATATAATCGTCACTGGTGTTGGCCGTGAGCGGGAATCGAACTCGGGTCACTGGGTTCATAGCCAGCGTAGCGCTAACTGTCCTGCTACCGCTCCCCTGTACTACCGCCAAGCACAGCTAGACCAACCATCACCCTCCAGCACACACATAAACACACCATCACACACATAAACACACCATCACACACATAAACACACCATCACACACATAAACACACCATCACACACATAAACACACCATCACCCTCCATCACACACATAAACACACCATCACACACATAAACACACCATCACACACATAAACACACCATCACCCTCCATCACACACATAAACACACCATCACCTTCCATCAAACACATAAATACACCATCACCCTCCATCACACACATAAACACACCATCACCCTCCATCACACACATAAACACACCATCACCCTCCAGCACACACATAAACACACCATCACCCACATAAACACACCATCACCCTCCATCACACACATAAACACACCATCACACACATAAACACACCATCCCACACATAAACACACCATCACCCTCCATCACACACATAAACACACCATCACCTTCCATCAAACACATAAATACACCATCACCCTCCATCACACACATAAACACACCATCACCCTCCATCACACACATAAACACACCATCACCCTCCAGCACACACATAAACACACCATCACCCACATAAACACACCATCACCCTCCATCACACACATAAACACCCCATCACCCTCCATCACACACATAAACACAGCATCGCCCTCCATCACACACATAAACACACCATCGCCCTCCATCACACACATAAACACACCATCACCCTCCATCACACACATAAACACACCATCACCCTCCATCACACACAATAAACACACCATCGCCCTCCATCACCACACATAAACACACCATCACCCTCCATCACACACATAAACACACCATCACCCTCCATCACACACATAAACACACCATCACCCTCCATCACACACATAAACACACCATCACCCTCCATCACACACATAAACACACCATCACCCTCCATCACACACATAAACACACCATCACCCTCCATCACACACATAAACACACCATCACCCTCCATCACACACATAAACACACCATCGCCCTCCATCACACACATAAACACACCATCACCCTCCATCACACACATAAACACACCATCACCCTCCATCACACACAAACACACCATCGCCCTCCATCACCCACATAAACACACCATAACCCTCCATCACCCACATAAACACACCATCACCCTCCATCACACACATAAACACACCATCACCCTCCATCACACACAAACACACCATCGCCCTCCATCACCCACATAAACACACCATCACCCTCCATCACACACAAACACACCATCGCCCTCCATCACTCACATAAACACACCATCACCCTCCATCACACACATAAACACACCATCACCCTCCATCACACACAAACACACCATCGCCCTCCATCACCCACATAAACACACCATCGCCCTCCATCACACACATAAACACACCATCACCCTCCATCACACACAAACACACCATCGCCCTCCATCACCCACATAAACACACCATCACCCTCCATCACACACATAAACACACCATCACCCTCCATCACCCACATAAACACACCATCACCCTCCATCACACACATAAACACACCATCACCCTCCATCACACACATAAACACACCATGACCCTCCATCACACACATAAACACACCATCACCCTCCATCACACACATAACACACATCACCCTCCATCACACACATAAACACACCATCGCCCTCCATCACACACATAAACACACCATCGCCCTCCATCACACACATAAACACACCATCACCCCTCCATCACACACATAAACACACCATCACCCTCCATCACACACATAAACACACCATCACCCTCCATCACACACATAAAACACCATCACCCCTCCATCACACACATAAACACACCATCACCCTCCATCACACACATAAACACACCATCGCCCTCCATCACACACCTAAACACACCATCGCCCTCCATCACACACATAAACACACCATCACCCTCCATCACACACATAAACACACCATCGCCCTCCCATCACACACATAAAACACACCATCACCCTCCATCACACACGATAAACACACCATCACCCTCCATCACACACATAAACACACCATCACCCTCCATCACACACATAAACACACCATCACCCTCCATCACACACATAAACACACCATCACCCTCCATCACACACATAAACACACCATCACCCTCCATCACACACATAAACACACCCATCGCCCTCCATCACACACATAAACACACCATCACCCTCCATCACACACATAAACACACCATCACCCTCCATCACACACATAAACACACCATCACCCCTCCATCACACACATAAACACACCATCGCCCTCCATCACACACATAAACACACCATCACCCTCCATCACACACATAAACACACCATCACCCTCCATCACACACATAAACACACCATCACCCTCCATCACACACATAAACACACCATCACCCTCCATCACACACATAAACACACCATCACCCTCCATCACACACATAAACACACCATCACCCTCCATCACACACATAAACACACCATCGCCCTCCATCACACACATAAACACACCATCACCCTCCATCACACACATAAACACACCATCACCCTCCATCACACACAAATACACCATCGCCCTCCATCACCCACATAAACACACCATAACCCTCCATCATACACATAAACACACCATCACCCTCCATCACACACAAACACACCATCACCCTCCATCACACACATAAACACACCATCACCCTCCATCACACACATAAACACACCATCACCCTCCATCACACACAAACACACCATCGCCCTCCATCACCCACATAAACACACCATCACCCTCCATCACACACATAAACACACCATCACCCTCCATCACACACAAACACACCATCGCCCTCCATCACTCACATAAACACACCATCACCCTCCATCACACACATAAACACACCATCACCCTCCATCACACACAAACACACCATCGCCCTCCATCACCCACATAAACACACCATCACCCTCCATCACACACATAAACACACCATCACCCTCCATCACACACAAACACACCATCGCCCTCCATCACCCACATAAACACATCACCCTCCATCACACACATAAACAACAATCACCCTCCATCACCCACATAAACACACCATCACCCTCCATCACACACATAAACACACCATCACCCTCCATCACACACATAAACACACCATGACCCTCCATCACACACATAAACACACCATGACCCTCCATCACACACATAACACACCATCACCCTCCATCACACACATAAACACACCATCACCCTCCATCACACACATAAACACACCATCGCCCTCCATCACACACATAAACACACCATCACCCTCCATCACACACATAAACACACCATCACCCTCCATCACACACATAAACACACCATCACCCTCCATCACACACATAAACACACCATCGCCCTCCATCACACACATAAACACACCATCACCCTCCATCACACACATAAACACACCATCACCCTCCATCACACACATAAACACACCATCGCCCTCCATCACACACATAAACACACCATCACCCTCCAGCACACACATAAACACACCATCACCCTCCATCACACACATAAACACACCATCACCCTTCCCATACACACATAAACACACCATCACCCTCCATCACCACACAAAACACACCATCACACCTCCATGCACACACATAAACACACCATCGCCCTCCATCACACACATAAACACACATCACCCTCCATCACACACAAACACACCATCACCCCTCCATCACAACATAAACACACCATCACCCTCCATCACACACATAAACACACCTATCACCCTCCATCACACACATAAACACACCATCACCCTCCATCACACACATAAACACACATCACCCTCCATCACACACATAAACACACCATCACCCTCCATCACACACATAAACACATCCATCACCCTCCATCACACAACATACAACACACCATCACCCTCCATCACAACAAATAAACACACCATCACCCTCCATCACACACATAAACACACCATCACCCTCCATCACACACATAAACACACCATCAACCTCACATCAACACACAATAAACACACATCACCCTCCATCACACACATAAACACACCATCACCCTCCATCACACACATAAACACACCATACACCCTCCATCACAACAATAAACACACCATCACCCTCCATCACACCCATAAACACACCATCACCCTCCATCACACACATAAACACACCATCACCCTCCATCACACACATAAACACACCATCCACCTCCATCACACACATAAACACACCATCACCCTCCATCACACACATAAACACACCATCACCCTCCATCACACACATAAACACACCATCGCCCTCCATCACACACATAACACACCATCACCCTCCATCACACACATAAACACACCATCGCCCTCCATCACACACATAAACACACCATCACCCTCCATCACACACATAAACACACCATCACCCTCCATCACAAACATAAAAACATCACCCTCCATCACACACATAAACACCCCATCACCCTCCATCACACACA